CTGAGCTAAGTCTCAGAGACACTGTTTTAAAAGACTGAAATAATAATAGCATTGCTCAGGATGTTATGGGATTAAGTGACATCCCACAGGCATATCTCAGGTCCCATTCAAGTCTCCCTTTCCTGTGACTATTATGAGATACTTCTTTGCAGCACAATGAAGAAGACAAAACCCTCAGGTTGGTCTGTTTTCTGTCACTGAAGGGAGTGGCTCTGTCACAGGCTTGTGTAGGTGCTTGCTTTAGTAATACAGTGGTACCTCCGTTGTAAAACTCAATTTGCTCTAAATCCATGTTTGAACACCAAAAAATTCAAGAACTGAACATATTTTTCCCTTAAAAAATAATAGAAAACCAAATCATTGGTTCTCAGGCCCCAAAATTATACTTGTGAATTCATTTTTCTAGGACTTTAACAAATTTCACAATGATATTTTCTTTAACTCCATCATGGTTCTCACAGTTTTGCTCTCAGCTTTACTGCTGGTATCGATAACTTTCTTTGGAGTCGTGCTTACAATATTTTATGCAAATAAAGCTCAAAAAAAATCACAAGGATGCGTGTTTTAACGCACTAACACACTCACTATGTGTTGCCAGGGTGAGAGCAGCTCTTAGACTGAAGCGTCACCCCTTGGTGTCCGCAGTGAGGTGTGACACGTGACCGACTCACTCTTGGCCTGTACAAGTTTTTTCAAGTCAGATTTTCAGTTTGACTATCTAGCAAAGTTACGAACACCGAGCAGATTTTTGGTTTTGAACTTTGCTGTTTGAGCAGTGGAAAGGTTGAGCTTGGAGCCCTCCGACAACTGAGGTAGCAGTGCAATAGAAACTGAAGCTAAAGCGACAAGTACGAATCACGGGCCTAGGCTTTCCCTGGAAAACAAGAGCGAAGGCAGGCAAAGGACTGCAGCTTGTGCAGTAGCTGGAGGGGCGCACTGCGATGAGGAGCATCAGGCTGGTGCACCCACAGAAGACCCGGAAGCAGTTCTGTGGGGTGCTGTCGTGTGCTGGGGTCCAGGCAGTCACTGTCTTAGTCCCAGTTTTGTGGCTCTGGAGGAATCCCCGTGGCTTGAGGGGCAGTGCCATTCCCACGCAGCAGCCCTGTCTGCTATGGTTTCAGTCCTGCGGTGCTCTGCTTTTCTGGGACCTGGGTGACACCAGTTTGGGACAGTCAGTGACTGGAGACTTCTCAGTAGCGTCTCAGGGAGGGGGTCTGGAACTAGAAGCAGCTGGTAGTCAGGTGTCCCTTCGTTACTTTTGTGTTCTCTGTCTTGAAGGGGGATGAGTTAAGCTAGGTAAACTTTGGACTAATAAACTTTGTTCTGTCAACTTTCAGCTAGACACTCCTTGAATGACTAACGTGGCTACATCTAAAGTTTTCAGGAAAAGGATGTAAAACGAGAGCTAAGCTTCGTTCTCCTTTTAGTTGCTTATTAGGCATTCGTAGGCTGAAGTGAAAAGTCACAGATTTAAGCAAAAAACACCTTTAAGTCTCTGACTGCTCAGAAGAAAATACAACTCATGCTTTTTATGAGCAACAGGTTAAGGACCCAGAAGTTGTTTGCCCTTTGTCCCTGTGGTGGTTTCTGAGCTAGTCAGAACAGCGGGCTGAATCTTGCCTGTCTTGCTGTTCTGTGACCAGTTGCCAAGAGGAGAAATTCCAGAATCTGGGGGAGGGGGTCACCCATGTTCTCTGCATCTGGGGAAACCATTGCTTCTTTTTCCCACCTTTTGAAAAGGTTTATTTAACATACACAATAGAACATCTGGTAGGCAGAAGAGAAAGGGGTAAAAGGTCTAAAATAATATACAAGCTATAGAATTGGCCTTTGAAGTGTTACTAATTGAATGGATTTCCCAAATGTAGCTTTCCTGTTCTCAATCCCTCACGCATTGAGCTGGATTTTGTCTGTGGGCTCTGCTGAGAACTCCGTGGGGTTCCAGGCTTGCTAGGATTCGAGCTTCTTCTTGGCTTTCAGAGCTGGCCTGGGCGGATGGTGGTTCGAGGTGAGCATGTCTTCATCTGAAGCACTTGCAGCTTTCCCAGTCAGCAGTGGGCCCGAGGAGGCTGCTGCCAGCAGGGGCAGTGCCAATAAAAAGAGAAGGCTTCAGAAAATACCCCAGGAAGATTAGAATGGACATTCCCTGTGGGCAGGAGGGGGTGTGCCCCAAGGTGACATTCCCATCCCATGCCCTAGATCCCAGTCAATAAAAATAAATCCACAAAAATAAAAAAAAAGAGAGAACGATCGAATCAAGCCAACTTTATAGCCAGAACCAAGAGATTCTGAGCCTGGAGTCCTGCCTACCTGAGAAATTCAGGTGCAAAGTAACGAAATTTTTCCCCATGAAGGGCTAGACACAGTATAGATGCTAGTTTAAAACCACTATCAGCACGTTTGATCAGTTTTACAGTACACTGGAGCAGTGATGTAGCTTGTCTATGCGGCTGGTAAGTAGAAGGACCCAGATTTTAGACGAGGTCTTCCAGACTCTAAGCCCGCTTCTCTCGTCCACTTGAAAGCCATAACCCAGAGAGGAGAAACCACCTCTAAGGCCTTAAACAAGATAGAGACAGGTGAAGAACAGAAGGCAGAGCGAAGAGCTTGGAGCTGAACGGAGGCAGGAATCGGAGCAGGAGAAGAGACGGCAGAGGATCTAGAGGGCTGGGCTGTTGTACGCATCCTCACAGTGCTCTGGACTTTGCCTCCTCTGTAGCCGGAGTAAAGGCTGGAAGGGCCAGGCAGCTAGACTGGCGACACTGGAGCTCCCTGAGTCCCTGGCGCCTGGTGCGCCTCCACCTGACCGAAGCCGGGGAAGGGGAGGCTTCAGGCAGCCCAGAGAGGCAGCACCTCGAAGAGGAAGGTGTGCGCGGAGCAGTAGAGCGGCATTGCAGTTTTCAAGGTGCTGGGTGCTCGGGCTTTGGAGCCAGACCGTGCCACCAGGTGGCCGTACGGTACTTAGTTCTCTCAGCACTATTTAGTCATCTGTAAGATAGAAATAGTAACTTAAATGCCATTCTGAGACTGAGATGATTCGCATAGTTTTTGACATAGTCCCTAGAACATAGCAAGTGTTCAGTAAATCTTAGCTTTTATTGTTAGTCTCAGGCTTGTAGTCTTAAAGCCTGGACAAGAAAAGCACAGTTCTCCTGGTAGGCCACAGAATATGTTAGCTGACCTCCCGTGGCCTCCAGATGTGTGGCTTGTGAGGCTGTGGACTTTGTCCCTCCCTTTTGTCACCACTGGCTTTCATTGGATTGTTTATATTTCTGTGCCAATAGAGAATGAGCTGTAGATGCCTTATCACGCTGAGCGATCTAGTGGTGCCTCTAGCCAGGCACGAGAACAAGTGACACGAAACGTACCCATGCCGCAGTTTAGACTTGGGTTGTCTTGGTTAAAATCCCAACCCTGTCCCACTCTTTAGCAAGAAAAAGCATGCTGCAGAACCTCAGTGTTACTTGTCTATAAAATGGGAATAATAAGACTTCATGGATAGCTTGTAAAGAGAACATGTTCAGACCTCCAGGCAGCAGTTACAGGAGTTCCCTTCTGAGGCCGAAGCACCCATCATAGAGGAGAGTCCTTCACCTCTGGACCTCAGGCTTCCAGACCCTCTTCTACCCTGCAGCGGTGGCTGAGTGGCCCTGCTTCAGCAGGAAAAGCCATAAGTTCTGCATGCGGCCGCCCTCCATGTTCAAAGCTCCCCTCACCCTCATCCCCAAAACGTCAGCTCCAAGCCGTGCCCAAGAGCTCCCAGGGTTTATTGGACATGTTGCCGCCTCATTTCTGAAGGAAAGCTGGTATCAGTATGGGGCCCCTGGGAAGGAGGTTCCCGTCTCTGCGGATGGCAGGCCTGTTCCATCCCTCTCATCCTACCTAGTGTCCCAGGTGATCCTCTTTTACAGAATGCCTCACAGCTGTCACTAGTCGCTACGGAGGCAGGGACAGCAAGACTGCCGGGTGCCTGGGGACCGGGGACACGCCTGGAGCACAGTTCTGCAGTTCTGTCCTAAAGCCGGTCGTCATGTCTGTCTTTTCTTGATGACGGAGATTTCCTTATAACAGCAGCTAGGTGCTCCTGCCCTTACCTTGCAGAGAGAAGGAGGACTCTCCCACTGAGTGTCTTCTAGACACTGGAGGAGGGTCTTACTCACGGTAACAGCCTCCCAAGCATGCAAGGCAGGCCTCATGCAGTCTGACCTTTACAGAGGAGCAATGGAGCTTGGGTAATTGGCCCACATCATACAGGAATTCAGACAAAGTCTGTAGCTCAGAAACCCATCACAGTGTGCTACCTCTTCAGGACAGTGCAAATAACAGGAGCTAAGCAGCATTGTAGAGAGGAAAGGGAAATGGGCTTGCGATTCCACTATTTGCTCCTTTGACTGACCTGGGAGTAGTGGGGAACCTGAGTGGCTCTAACCACTTGCCCTTTCTGGGGTATGAAAAAAATTAAAACACAAAGAGACCCAACTCTGACCTCCCTCAAAGAGATGGAGTGGGAGTGAGTCTGATGCCGGGCACCTACAGAGTTTGCCGAATTTGCCTGCCTCAGAAAAAAATGTTCCTTGGGAAGAATTTTGAATCAGAATTTGTGAATGTGTAGCTTAAGGGCCAAGTCTGAACTAGACAGATTTTTGTTCTAACCTGCAGTAATTTTTTTTAACTTCAAACTAGTTGTTAACATTTCTTAAGCGCAGCAGGTTCACACAAAACCCCAGAATTCTGAATTATCTTGAGAAAGCAGAAGCTCTCCCAAGCCCGGGCTTCTGTCCCTGTTTGGCCGCTGCCGTCCGGAGGAGAAGCTGCCCCCGGAGAGGGAGCAGTGAGGAAGGGCTTTGCAGTTTGCCGCAGCCCCCCACCCCTTAATCCTGACAGGGAGAGCCGCGCTATCTGCGGCATCTCCCCCTCTCTGCCAGGGTTCGTACTGTAGGCGTCAGAGGAAAAGCAGCTTTCCTGCCATGGTCCCATGCCTTTCTCCTCTGCTTCCCCAGGTGTCCCCTTCCCAAAGAACTTCCTCCAGATCTGCAAGAAGATCCTGTGCCGCCTCTTCCGGGTCTTCGTGCACGTGTACATCCACCACTTCGACCGGGTGATTGTGATGGGCGCGGAGGCCCACGTCAACACCTGCTACAAGCACTTCTACTACTTCGTCACGGAGATGAACCTCATAGACCGAAAGGAGCTGGAGCCCTTGGTAAGTGTGGCCTGCACTAAAAGCACCTGAGTCGTGCCCAGGGGCTCGGCCGTTTGTCACAGTACACTGCCAGGCGCAGGGAAAGTGCCCACTGATAGACCTTAGCCGAAAGGGTGCAGAACTGGACGCGGTTCAGCAGTCAACCAAGGGCCAAGAAATGCCAAGGTGTCCACTGCTACCAATAAACTATTGCCAGACGATTGCCTTCTGAGAGGCGGCATAATATAATGGGAATATAGTGGTTTGGGCTGGAAGAAGGAGCTTTGATTCTCAGCTCATTCACTTATTTATCTATTCTCTTATAAGGGCATCTTTGATCTGTCATGTTATCTAATATTATTAATTAAGGATGATCAGAAACATTCTCTCAGTAGTAAAGGAATATTTAGCACCTACGACAGCTACCAGGCCTACGAACTCAAGTAAAACTGCCTTTGAGACAGGGAGTGAAGTCAGCCCTGAATAAGAATACAGTATCACAGGGACTTTGCCTTTAACACTGAATCTCCTGGTAGGGAGTTATAGGGGGTGTATCAGAATCTAGAACATCCAGGATAAATCTCTAGTATTATTGTATGAGTGAATGGGATCATTTGTATTTTCTGCATAAGGTATTTTGTTGCTGTGTAACTCAGTTTTGTTTTAGAAGTCAGGCCCCTAAAAACCCCGTCACCCTTCTAACAGGTGATTCTTTAATGGCCCGGATTTCATCACAGCTCTTTCTAGTTGGCTCTAGCCAGTGCCTTCATGTCCTGTAGGATAGAATAAAATTAGGCCTTCGCTTGCTAAAATGGCTGAATAGAGCACCTAGATTTCATCCAGGTCCATTGGAATAAAGGCCAGAAGGCTGGGGCCCGGCTGTCTGCTTTTGTTTCTCTTTCTCTTACTGTTTTAAATTATTCCTTTTACTGTTATGTAGGTACATTGAGGCCAACAAGTCAGGTGGCTACCATTGAAAAGATAGCTTGTTATACTCACGCATCCCGAGAAAGGGTCCTGCCACACCAACAACAACCGTATGGGGAAGCCCTGGGTCAGGGAGGAGATGGAGCAGAAAAAATATGGGCAGGAGCTTATTGAGTTTCCCGGGAAGACACAGGCAAAGGAGGGTGAACAGGCTTAGGGTTGACTAATTTGAATAATGTCAGCAGGCTCGGGGGCACAGGGTTGCCTCTAGCAGTCTGGTACCTGTGTTAGTATGAGAGCTTAATGGAGGAGGTGTTTGGGGCCTGGGCCTAGATTGGCTGCTTTGTATTGGTTGGTTGTGAACAGCTTGTGGATGGGCTCGTTAGCATCTCTGGGTGTTGAATAGCTCTAGGCGGGGCAGTCCTGAGTCAGCAGGACCCCAAATGTGAAAGAGTCAAAATTCAAAGCGTGAAAGACATGTTTATATCAATATAGGATCTCTATCTGGCAAAGAAGATGTTGGTAAATTTTATGTCACCTCAGAATTTCTCAGCTCGCAATCACTGATCGTTCTATGGGAGTATATGGTAAAAAACACATTGCTTTGCATCACGCAGTTCTAGAACAGAGCACGACATTTTTGTGTGTGATTGAGATGTTTCTTACAGCACTGGCTAAAGGAGAGCTTACTAGAAAACTCTCGGGCCAGGGATTCGTTGTAGTTGGACGACTTGTGTGGAAAGAATCAGAAATGTATGATGGTCTTCTAGTTCATCCTTCGTAGAAGCTGTTGGGTAAACAGCCACTGCAAGGAGAAAGGTTGTGCAAACAACTGAAAGGACTGAACGACTAGCAATGGTTGACAAAGCTAGTTTCAGAAAGTGTCAAGGGCAAAAAAGAGGAAAAGGAAAGGAAAAAGTGGGAAGGAACCATATAAATGAAGAGGCCAGGAGACACTTGCAGTCTCTTAGAACAGCTGCATCTGAGGGTCTGTGTTCCCTTCCCTCAGGTCCGTGCAGGTGGAAAAAAAAATACCTTCCTCAAAAGTCAACTATCAGGCAGAGGCTCTCCCACGCACGCCTACTTTCAGTTTTGCTGAGCTAGACAAACCGCAACATTAGGTGGATAGAGGGGAAAGTCAATTTCTCCTTTATGCACAGAAGCATAAAGGCCATTGTAAGATAAAACTGAGTGTAAATCAACAAGCAGAGAAAGCCTTTCTTTGCTATCAAAAACCTCTCAGTTATTTTCTATAACTGAAGAAGGGCCCCAGGGATTCTAGCACCTGGCAGTGCCAGGAGCTGACTTGGAGTCTCAGGGTCGCAGTCAGTCCTTGAACAAGCCAGTGTTCTAGATAAGTGCATGTGTGTGTGTGTGCCTGGGAGAAAAACTCTGATGAGATTAATCATGAATTATTAACAGTGGAAGTGAACAAGAAAGGTATGTTTTTCCTCAGAAGCTTATATTTCTTTAAATATTGCTTAAAACAGTCCTCTTCCTACACTTACATTTTGCTATAGTTACAGAAAAGATTAATTTTAGTATGTTTTTTAAATACTGAGTTATCTGAAGTTGTATATTTGCTTCCCACAAACCCAAACCTACAAAACGTAAGAATAGATACTGAGCCTATTTATAAGGATATAATATCAGGCTCTGCATACTGAGCATATCCATGTCCTCTAAGAGTGTTATATTTGTGGATTGTTAGTGCTGTAATTTCAGGAGTTGATTGTGCTAGAATACCTGACTGCTAAGCCTCCTGTTGCAATGTACTGTAATACTGTGATCAGATAAATCATATCAATGCGTTTGTAGTTGATCTGCATATACTGAGTACTCTGTAGGTACAAAACAAGTTGCTCAGATATTTTACATGCATAAGAAAATACGCTTTTGAGAGACTGACAGTGCAATCTAGATTATATAAAATAATGCAAGTCACTCATCATCAGTCCTCAAAGGATAATGAAGTCAGGCGTTTGCCTTCACGTTCTGGTTGTGCATTCTTTGGAGTCCAGTGCAGCTAGCCAGAAGGGCGGCATTTGCCCAGACGGTTCGCTCATTGGCCTGTTGGCATTCCCAGAGATCCCATGCTGCTGATGGGAGCTTTCTAGAGTCACGTTTTGGGATTCCACAGCGTAGAAGGCAGTTTCCTTCACACTTCGCATTGCGTTTCTGCCATGTACAGCCACACTTCTCTGGTCCCAGAGCCCTCCCAGCTGCTGCTGTTGAACAAGTACCTGGCACACCACAGAAGGACATGATTCAGTATCATGCAGTGCATGAGACAAGACTCACACTCTTGGGCTCCAGCCTGGGACACTTCGTCTACTAACTTGCAACCTGAAGCAAGTTATTTGGCTTTTCAAAGCCAAGTTTTCTTCACCATAGCATAAGCACACTAGAATTGTAGAAGTTAAATGGGTGAATCACATGGTGAGTGCTTAAGAAATGTAGGCTGTTAAATGAGACAATACATGTAAAGTAATTAGCACACAGTAAGTGGGGTTTCCTCAACTCTCCCTTCCCTAGCGCTCTCTGCCTTTCCCTAGATGGTCTCCAGTAAGTGTAGTGAAATGCATTTGTATCCATCTCTACCATCAGTTAGTTGAGGGCTGAGGGCAGACAGGATATAGGCCTGTATTTTCCGTGGTACCTAGTACATTGCAAATGTTTAATGTGCTTTTGAATGGGGGTGAGCATTTTAAGGATGATATGTCCTCGCGGAAAGGGAGTACACAGCAGCCATTCCTTCTTAATGCCACCCTTATCTCAAAACATGCTTCCAGAGACCGCCACGTGGATGTCTGCTACCTGAAAATGTTTCTTCCTATCTGATTTGCAAGAAAGAATGCAAGCAAAGGGGCTGGGGATTTAGCTCAGCGGCAAAAGCGCCTGCCTGGCAAGCGCAAGGTCGTGAGTTCGGTTCCCGGTACCGGAGAAAAACCAAAAAAAAAAAAAAAAAAAAAAAAGAATGCAAGCAAAATGAAGTGCAGAACAGTGAAGGGATACATTGTAAGCCTTGGACCGTATAGGGAAAGATAGGACCGCAGTCCCCAGGCACTCTCTGCGCCAGATCCCAGAGATCTCACCCGGCAAATGTCCAATGCTCTCACACTGCCTCAGGGTAACTGGCACTCCCGGTTTTAGCACTGAGAGTCCCACGTCCTGGGAAAACCCTCGGACCCCAAGAACTGGGATGGCTGTCACCCCAACAGGCTCCTGATTGGGAATATAGTTAGGAATCCAGAGGCTGGAAAGAAGTGAAGCCAGCACGTCTCTTCACCCCTAGGACTTGCCTTATTCCCGCACTGGGACTGCTCTTCAGCCTCTGCAGCCGCAGCCTGGGAACGGGAAGCACAGGCCATCTCACTGGCGCTTCCTTAGGCGGGGGAGGCGGGCACACTGACAGACGCAGACGTGCCAGACCCTCGAGTTCTCACGTACCGCCGAAGATGACCTGAGCTCCCGCAAGTTCACAGTTGGAGGAAACAAGCCCAAATGATGCTGGTAATTGGAAAATGGGCCAGGCCTGGTCGAATCAGCAGGCTGCTGCTGGCCTTGTCGGCCTGAGAGTCAGCTGACAAAACTGAGCTAATCGGAATCATCATTAGCAAGCACAAATGGCCAGCAGCATTTTCTCGGTCTTTCGCTAGAAACAACAGCCAACTCCGAGAGCGATGTAGTAGCTGTCAATGATGAGCTGAGTGGCACTGGAGGAGGAGAGAGACTGGCAAGGTGAGAAGAACAGACAGGAGGGTGCCACTTCACATTAATGTACACGCTGACTCCCGTGTGACCTTGGCCCAGGGCTTTCCCATTCTCGCTGCAGGGCTCCACTTCCTGTTTCTAACAATGAAGGTGATTATGCTGTTGCTCTGGGGACTGTTTTATTGCCTGATAGGAGGGTGCTTGGGCCATAGGCGCTTGAGTGAGGTCTGTTTCTCAGTAGGGGCCCGTACACTACCCACATCAGAATCAGGTGGCATTTTAAAATGTGCATACCTAAGCTTCCTGTGGGCACATGAATCAGAATTGCTGACATCGGTACCAAGCACCTTCGGTCAGCATCTCAAACTGTATTGTTTACA